AAAGACAAGCATTTAGGACCTGAGATGTGTATAGCTATTATTTATGCTTACAAATCACTTTGTGACAAAATAAATCTATTAGATAAATGAATCTATTACATTTTTGATAGTTTTCATTTCTTTCTGGGATTTAAAAATCATAAATACACAATTTAAATGAAAATATATGTATGTACACTGATGAGGCTTCATATGTAGAATATGTGAGATGGATGGATGATGATGAAGATGATGATGATGAGGATGATGATGTAATTGGCCTTTTCCCCTACCAAATCCATCAGCAGGAGACTTGATGGTAAAAAAGTGCAAATTAGATATTGTCTTTGTGATGAACAACAATTACAGCAACCCAATAAAAGAATCAAATACTACATACTTAGTTTTTTTTTTGTTTTTTTTTTATCTCTGTCTTATTCTATGTGTAGTTCGTCCATATTTAACGTGCAACTTGCATGCTCCCTCTATTAGAGCATCACACAAGCATATAGCTAATAAATTAATCTGAATAATGAATGAATGAATAAATAATATGTTTGGGTAATTTTAAGAATTTCCATGTCAATTTGGATATTTCTAAGCAATTCTAATGAATATCCTGATAAAGGAAATTTCTTCAAAGACCTGAGAAACAGTCAGAGAGTTTTTTACACTACACAGCTTAATGCTACACATTTCTGATATTTTCTCTTTTTTTTAAGAGTTTAAAGTTGGCACACAATGCTGCACAGTGGGATGTTCTGGAACTGTCCTTTCTCCAAGTCCCCTGGTCTCTTCCCACAGTGCTAATTCATGCTTGTTAGGGTTAATTGGCTTTAGGAGTGAGTGTGTACAGCTGTCTTTTTCATGCTGGGAAATATTAATAACACATGGGCAGAAAAAAAATGGAAATTATTTCCTGCTAAAACGAATAAAAAAAATATTAAATTGTCCTATGTATACACCGGCTAGATGAATAGAAGATATTTAATACTTGGTGACTTACGTAAGCTGTAGTAGAAGTGTAATGTTAAATATCTTATCTCTTTAGACAGTGAGCAGAATCAGGTTGCTTCCTGTCAAGAGGATTGACAGCTGCTCTGAAAAAAGTCTGACACTGACATGCCTTTAGGACCATGAGAGATGTCAAGAGATTATTTCCATCTTTGTCAGGCGGTTAAGGAATCTTATCGCTCCATCGGCAGTCTACCTTCTGTCACAGCAATAAGTAAAAGTCAAATAAAAACGCATAATCATCTCCTGGAAGTGAGCATGTATTCTTCATGTATTTGAACCTATAATGTTGAAATTGTAATAATTTTGTTGTTTGATAGCTAACTTTTGGGTAATCCCTGGAGTCTGGACTTTTTTGCAAAACCCTCATAATGAAAGTGCTTGCAGAGATATGTAGAAAAAACATTTCAGATGCATAAATTAATGTAATTGAAAGCTTTTGTTTTTTTAATTGCTGCAATATCTTAGTGGAGCTGGCGCCGCAGATGGCAGCCACGGTGTGTTGGTGCGCACTTTTTAGTTTC